ATAGATAGATAGAGAGAGAGAGAGAGAGAGGGTGAAGGTAGAGAGGGGGATGGGAGGGAAGGAGGGAAGGAGAGAGAGAGAGAGAGAGAGAGAGAGAGAGAGAGAGAGAGAGAGAGAGAGAGAGAGAGAGAGAGAGAGAGAGAGAGAGAGAGAGAGAGAAAGAGAGAGAGAGAGAGAGAGAGAGAGAGAGAGAGACAGAGAGAGAGAGAGAGAGAGAGAGAGAGAGAGAGAGAGAGAGAGAGAGAGAAGAGAGAGAGAGAGAGAGAGAGAGAGAGAGAGAGAGAGAGAGAGAGAGAAAGAGAGAGAGAGAGAGAAAGGGAGAGAAAGATAGTTAGACAGAGAGAAAGAGAGAGAGAGAGAGAGAGAGAGAGAGAGAGAGAGAGAGAGAGAGAGAGAGAGAGAGAGAGAGAGAGAGAGAGAGAGAGAGAGAGAGAGAGAGAGGGAGTTAGAGAGAGAGAGAGAGAGAGAGAGAGAGAGAGAGAGAGAGAGAGAGAGAGAGAGTTAGAGAGAGAGAGAGAGAGAGAGAGAGAGAGAGAGAGAGAGAGAGAGAGAGAGAGAGAGAGAGAGAGAGAGAGAGAGAGAGAGAAAGAGAAAGAGAAAGAGAAAGAGAGAAAGAGAGAGAGAGAGAAAGAGTCAAAAGAAAACAGGGTAAACACACATACACGTCTAATTTTCATACATCAAAGAAATATAAAAGATAATAATAATATATGATATTTTTTGTGTTTACATTTGCACTGACACGTACCAAGTCTGACATGGATGTGTACACGTGCACATACACATATTTCCGTACACAAAAAACAAACACAAATGTAAGTAAATAAATAAAATGAAGTAAATAAGAAGAGCACCTGATTTGTTGAATAAAATATATGAATATTCATTACGAGCCTGCTAAAATATTCATACTATACAAATAAGTTATTTAAAAAGTTGAAAAAGGAGAAATGCACACACACATACACACACACATTCCTATTTCTCTCTTTCACACACACACACACACACACACACACATACACTCACGCACACACACAAACACACACACACACAAACACACACATACACACGCACACACACACACACACACACACACACACACACACACACACACACACACACACACACACACACACACACACATCCATGCTCATAGATAAATAGATAGATAGACAGATAGATAGATAGGTAAATACAAATAGCATCCTGCTCTTGAAGTTTTACATTGTCCCTATTCTCTTCTCTCTTTCTCTCTCCTTTTCCCATTCCCTCCCTCTCACTCTCTCTCTCTCTCTCTCTCTCTCTCTCTCTCTCTCTCTCTCTCTCTCTCTCTCTCTCTCTCTCTTTCTCTCTCTCTCTATTTACCACTCACTCCCTCTCTCTATCTCTCTCCCTTACTCTCACCATCCCTCCTCCCCTCTATCCCCCTCCCTCCCCTACCCTTTACACACCCCTCCTCCATCTTCTCTCTCTTCCTCTCCTCCTCTCTTCCTCTCCCTTACCCTTGTTCCGTTGCAGATTCAAGCTTCTGCAACCGAGCAAGCCACCCGTCCTGAAGTTGTTATTGTCTTTTTTTTACGTAACTTGTTCTTTTCCTACAATTACCCTGGGCGTGGTTTGGACGAGGAGTGAGGTCGTGGGAGGTATTCTTTATATGTTATTCTTTATATGTCGGGGAAACGTATAAGGAGGGAGAGGGGAGGGGGAGGGGTGGGAGAGGGGAGGGGAAGGGGTGGGAGAGGGGTTTGAGGGGAAGGGAAAGGTGAGGGGGAGGGGAGGGGGAGGGGGGGGAGAGGGGAGGGGGATGGGTGGGGGAGACAGGGGATGGAGAGGAGGATGTGATGACGAGAGACAAGATAGAGGGAGAGGGAGAGAGAGAGAGAGAGAGAGAGAGAGATAAGGGGAGAAGGAATAAGAGAGAAAATGAAGAATTTATGATGTTAAAAGGTATTCCAAGCGCACAAACAAACAAAGGAATAAAAATTTAATGGTTAGAAAAAGAAGTCGATGCAATGATAAAACAACAGACAAAAAGTAATGGGTAAAAAGTCGTATAAAATGTAATTGCTGGAAACATTTCAGTGTAACCATCATTTTTATATGTATTCATTAAAAAGATATTTAAATGCAATGAATGCAGTCTTTCGGCAAGAAAGTTTTATATATTTCTTACGCTGAGTAAGTATTCCAGTTCGAGTAAATTAAATGTGGCAAAGTGTAACCGTAGATTTTATGTTCAGTGTTGCATTATTCCCGCATTCTCCCATCCTCAACATCTACGAATTTTCCCCTCTTTCTCTCCCTCTCTCACCATTCTCCTATTCACCATTCCCTCATCAATCCCTCCATCTCATTATATTCCCTTGATTCTGTCTCATTTCCTCCTTTCATTATCCTTTCATTCTTTTTACTCGTCCGTTCTTTCGACTCGCTTTCATCCTAATCTTTCTCGTTTCCCGTTTTTTCCCCTTTCCTGCTCCTATTCACTCCTTGAATTCGACCTGTAAGTATTGTCTTATTCTCTTACCCTTCCTCTCTTCATTTGTTCCATTTTCTCTATTCTGTTCTCCTTGTCTTTCCCTGTGTGACTGTCTCTCTTTTTTATATTAATCTTTTTTTATCTGCGTATATGTCTGTTTGTCAGTTTGTTCTTTCTTTCTTTTTCCTTTCTGTCTGTCTGTCTCTCTCCCACTCTCTTTTTATTTTACATCACCGTTTCTTCGGTTTGTCTGTGTATCTGACTATCTGTCTGTCACTCTCTTTTTCTCTCTTTCTGTCTCTCTTGTTATCCGGATCTTTTCGTACCTTGCTTGCTCTCTTCCATTTGAATTTCTTCACTTCTCTCCTTTTATTGCCATCCTTCCTCGTACTCCCATCTTCATTTTCCGGTTCATCTTGTTCGTTTTTTTCTGTTCTCTTCTTACCTATCCCGCCCTTACGTCCGGTTACTTCCGTTTCCGCCTCCTCCCTCTTCCTTCACCCTACCTCTCTTTCCTTCCATTCCTCCTTCTCCTCGCCCTCTCTCTCCTCCTTCCCACCTCCACCTACTCTTCCCCTCCCTATCCATCATTACTTCTCCCTCTTCTTCACCTCCCTATCCAAAGAGAGAGAGAGGGAGAGAGAGAGAGAGAGAGAGAGAGAGAGAGAGAGAGAGAGAGAGAGAGAGAGAGAGAGTGAGAGAGAGAGAGAAGAGAGCGAGAGCGAGGGAGAGAGAGAAGAGAGAGAGAGAGAATGACGAGAGAGAGAGAGAGAGAGAAAGAAAGAGAGAGAGAGAGAGAGGAGAGAGAGAGAGGAGAGAGATGAGAGAGAGAGTGAGAGAGAGAGAGAGAGAAGCGAGAGAGATGAGAGAGAGAGAGAGAGAGAGAGAGAGAGAAAGAAAGAGAAAGAGATAGATAGATAGATAGATAGATAGAGATAGAGAGAGAGAGAGAGAGAGAGAGAGAGAGAGAGAGAGAGAAGAGAGAGAGAGAGAGAAAGAAAAAAAAATGAAAAGAAAGAAACCCAGTGTAGACAGAACTGTCGGAAGGATACACACACACGCACAATGAAACACCCTTAAGAAAATTTCAGCACCCGCCCCCTCTCACTTTCGCTTTGTTCTGATTCCGTCCTTTGATGAGGGATGCTGGTGCTATTACCGCTCGGTAGATGCGGAAGAGAAAAAGGAGGAGAGGAATAAATAAGGAGGGAGAATTAGTTGAAGAGAGAGAATTAGATGAAGAGAGGGAAATAAGTAGAGACCGAGAACGAGGGATTGAGAGAGTGAGAGAGTGTGAGAGATAGATAGATAGACAGATAGATAGATAAATAGATAGATAGATAGATAGAAGCTAAGGAGATGGAGAACAGGAGATGGATTAAAAAGTGGTACGACGAGAAATATATAAATACGTATTCTTTCTTGGACATTGATCTTAAGCTAACTAAAAATGACAACAACAAAAAAATGCAATGTAATTAGTACGTAAAATCCGCTAAAAACGAAAGAAAATGTAAGACAAAGGAAGAATTATACACAAAGACACACACTTTGTCCTGCCAATGAAGATTCCCATGTTGTTCATGGCCGTGACAATTGAACCTCCGCTTTTGACGTCATAATTCAACTGCGAGCCGAGAGAGCGAGGAGGAGGAGTTTACCCTAAATAAGCAAAGTAAAAGAAGTAGTTTATATCAGCCTTTAGTTAAAGCTACTAAAGAATTTCGTATTTTACCTCTGTCTCTCTGATTCTCTCTCCCTCTCTCTCTCTTCAGCTCATTTTCCTGCCTTTGGTATTTGTTGTCGTTATCCATTTGTGTTAAGCCCTTTATTGAAAAGGCTTTTAGCTAGTATAGATCTAGATCGAATCGAGAGCTCTCTCGCTCCTCTCTCTTATTCTCTCTTTTTCTGGGTCTCTCTCTCTAATCTTCTCTCTCTACCTCCCTCATCTTCTATCTCTCAAATCCCTATTCCACCTTCTTTCCACATACTTAACTACACCCTCCAACCAATCTTTTTTTTGTCTCAATCATTTCGCCTACTCTTCTCTCTCTCTCCCTCTACCTTCTTCTCTTTCTATCTCTCTCTCTCTATCTATCTATCCCTCTCCTCTTACGCTCTTCTCTCCTCTCTCTCTCTCTCTCTTCTCTCTCCTCTCTCTCCTCTCTCCCCCCCCCCACCCCCCTCTCCCCCCCCCCCCCCCTCCATCTCTCTCTCTCTCTCCTCTCTTCTCGCTCTCTCTCTCTCTCTCTCTTCGTTTCTGTCTGTCTCTCTTTCTCTTCTCTCTCTCTTCCTCTCTCTCTCTCTCTCTCTCTCTCTCTCTCGCTCTCTCTACTCTTCTCTCTTCTTTCTCTCTCTCCCCCCCCCCCCCCCCCCCCCCCCCCCCCCCCCCCCCTCCCCCCCCCCCCTCTCTCTCTCTCTCTCTCTCTCTCTCTCTCTCTCTCTCTCTCTCTCTCTCTCTCTCTCTCTCTCTCTCTCTCTATCTCTGTCTCTCTTTCTCTCTCTTTGTCACAATTACCTTTCAAGCTGGAGTGTCTCTTGTTGCACAGGATAAGCGATGCCACCACGATCGCCACGAGGAGGAGTGCCACGACGCCGCCGACTAGGAGGAGCACTGGCACCTTCTCTGAAAGGGGGGAGGGGAGAGAGAGAAAAAAAGGAAGTGTTAATATCCTCAAGGTTCAGTCTGCTACCTGGAGAGGGAGGGGCGGGGGGGGGGGGGGATATTAATAGTGTTTGTTGTTCGTTTGTTGAATCAGTTTTTGGTTGGTTTTCGTGATGATGATGTTGCTGGGTACTGATTGTTCTGATATTTTTGTTTGTGTGTTTTTTTTTGTTGTTGTTTTTTGTGTCCCCTCTTTCCTTTTTTATCTTTATTTTCTTTCTCCTTTAAAAAAAATCTTATTTGTATTCCCTTATGTCTCTTTTTTTTATTTTTCCCTGTTTTTTTTACCTCTTTCATATTCAGTCTTTCTCCCTTAAGCTGTCTGTCTAATCTGATCTAATTACCTAATTCATTCTCTTTACGTATCTCTATCTTCCTCCATTCTTTCCCATCACCCCCCCCCCCCTCTCTCTCTCTCTCCCACTCTCAGTCAAACTATCTATTTCTTACTCTCTTCTCTTCTCTCTCTCTCTCTCTCTCTCTCTCTCTCTCTCTCTCTCTCTCTCTCTCTCTCTCTCGCTCTCTCTCTCTCTCCCTCTTTCTTCTTTCCCTCACTTCCTCCCTAGCCATCTCTTTTTACTTATCTCCTTTCTATCACTATCATTATGTCAGGATGTGTGTTTGATTATCCCCAATTAACTCTGCGTTAATTAAACCCATTAGCAAATAGCTTAACTCATGTATTCTCGTCACTCCTTTTAGGGTAAGAAGGGCCTCCCAGAACGGTGTATTGTGGTCATTAGTGACAATAATTACTATAATTACGGATATCAGCTGGGGGTAATTATCATTTGGCTTCACTTTACATGTAGATTGTACTATTTTTATCCCCGTTTTATATATATTCATAAACTTGTTTTTTTTATGATTTTTACACCTATTTTACACCTTTTTGGATCATATCTCTTTCATTTTGTGTTGTTCTCACATTTACACATTTTTTTTTATTGTTTTATGCCATATCGTTATTATCATTTTCACTGTATCATTACTATTATCTTCTTCATTATTATCTTTATTAACATGCTCAATATCGTTGTTATTATTATTACTATCATTATCATTATTATTATTATTATTATCATCATTATCATTGTTATTATCCGCATCATAGTCATTGTCATTATATATATTTTTTCTTATTATTATCATCATCATTGGTATTTATCATTATTATTATTATTAATATCATTAACATTATAATTATCATTATAGTCGTTACTCTTATTATTATCATTATCATTGCAATTATTATTATCATTATTGTCATTTTCATTACTATCATTATCATTATCATCATTATTATTATCCTTTATTGCTATCATCATCAATGTTATCATTACTATTATCATGATTATTATTACCATTATCATCATCATCATTAGTATTATTATTGTCATTATCATTTTTATTATAATTATCATTATAATTACCATTATCATTATCATCATTGCTCATTACTGCAATCTCATTCTCATACAAGTAAAACCAATAACAACAACACATCAAATCTTACACATCCACCACCACCACCACTGCAAACAACAACAACAACAACAACAGCAACACCACCACCAACAACAACAACAACAACAGCAGCAACACCATCACCACCACCACCACCAACAACAACAACAGCAACAACAACAACAAACTTGAACCAATAACATGGAAGCCAAAACAACAACAGATACGGTTCCACTAATAGCAGTAACAAACTCCATTAAAACAAAAGTCTTATTACTTTGATACTGACGGAAATGTTGATGGAGGTCGTGGCGTCGTCGGAGGAAAATAACGTTGATGAAGAACAATAAAAACGGAAACAGACTAAGGCAAAACAAAAAGAAAAGAAAAAAAGAAAAAAAGAGATAAAGACGAGGGTAAAATAAAACGAAACAAAAATATAACAACAAAAATAATATTCTTCCTTTTTTTCTAAGATTTTCCGAAGACTTTCTCCACGTCATTTCAACCTCCCCCCACCCCACCCACCGCCCATCATCTCCCCCTCTTCACCCCCTCATTTTCAGGCCCCCCCCCCCTCTGCCCCCCTCCCTACCTCTATTATCCTCCCTCCTCCCCCCTCCCTCAGTTTCTCCATTTCCACAAACCCCAAATAGGTTCTACAGACCCTCTCACCCCACCCCACTCCCACCTCCCCCTCCCAAACCCCACTTATCCCCTTTTTCTTCCCCCCCTTCCTCCCTTCCTCCCCTCCCCTCCTCCTCCCCACCCGCAAACCGAACCGCACTCTCCCTCAAATCCTTCCATTAAGGACATAACCATTCGAGATATTTCCTAATTACTTTGTTCTTGTGGCCAGACAAGGACATCACGGCCGTCCTTTATT